TGAAATGTAATGAACTCGTTAACAGTGCCATCACCAAGCAAGAATGAAGATCTGTTGAATGAAAATGATGAATTAAATGATACTAAAGACTGCAGACATTCAGAGAGGCATTTTAACTCGTGGACTAAATTTCTAATCATTTTCCCCTTGGTTATTAGGGAAACCAGAACCGGAGAAGAAACTGCTAATGAACTATATTCACCAGTTAAAACTGACTCCTGAGGAGCCACTCAGCTTGTCTGTTTAACAAAGGAGTTATAAAACTTAAGGAGTAAATGAGACAACAGCTGAGGGGGCCCACAGAGCCCAGCTCCAAATCTCTTCTGACCCTGGATGAGTCCTATGTCCTGCGCATCCCTTGATTTATTTACCCTTAGAATGGGAACAGGAGAAGCAGTTATGAATAATCGCTCTAATAAAAGCCTATCAGCCTCTGGCAGAAATACAAATGCTTGTTGATAATGATCACCCTCCCAAACCCCAGTTTACATTTTTTCCATTAACATTCCAGTCCCCAACCCTCAGGTTCCCAAGATCCTACGGGCTTCATTCTCAGACTGAAAGACCACACTGAGATTTAGGAAATGACTGGAGCCAACTCCATGAAGCAAGAGCAGGCTGCCTAACTTCCAAAAAAGCCATTACACGTGTCCCCACCTCATTTCATTTTTCACTGGGATGACACCCAATCTTTGTGATAAAAATGAACCCAAGGACACCACCCCAAAGAACTTGTTTCTCTTGGACCCACCAAAGGATAAAATGTTCTCAATGCCACCTCTTAAGATAAACATCCTTCCCCAAGTGCCCCTTTTAATTGGCTGGTTGACTGTCCCTTGGGTGTGACTGCACGGATTTATCCCGGGTGCGTAACCAAGTTGAAAAAGTCTTCCTGATTTCTGAGTATCCTCAGTAACAAGGAGGACGGCAGTGGACAGCGTGGACTAAAACTGTGTCTAAGCACTGATGTGACCCTAGCGCCTCACAAAAAAAGGATATTCTGCTCGGGGAGATTGGTCCGTGATCTCTGTGATCCCTTCCAGCTCTGTACCTCAACAGTCGGTTCTACAAGGCTGGCCACTGAAGGTCACCGGGAGATCCAACAGAACCATTCCACCAGGGAAGGAGAAAGAAATTCGCCTGTAGGTTTTAGTGGATTAATTAAAAGCCATGTGCTGGTCACAGGCTGCAAAACATCCAAGTATCTATATTCACCTTCCCCCCACCCCCCGCAAAACACGCATGTGCAAGTCTAAAGATAATTCTAGGTTGTAAGTATAAATAACTAAAATAGAATTTTAAGTAATTAGCACAGTAGGTTGGCTTCTCAGTATCCTCAAAAAACTCTTAGGATAAATTGTTATAGCCTTGTTTTTGTGAAGCAGGCTATTCATCTTTTCCAAACTCTGCCTGTCTCTACAGACCAAACTGAAAGAGCCTTCAAAAATGCCCGGCCGATATCTCTGCACATACTCCATCCTGAGAAGCCAGATTTCTTTAAGCAACTCTTCCACCAAGAAACATTAATCACAACCAGAAAAATGAAATAACGCACTCGAGAGTTAAGTAGTATTTATGATACTCTGAACTGCGCCTTTAATCACTGTCAATGTTCTAACATTTATGAGAGATTGTTAACTGATTTCTAGATGGCAATATATTTCCATTCTAAATGGGAATGACTGTTAGCAGATTTTTTTTATTTTTTATTTTATTTTTTTAAAGATTTTATTTATTTATTTGACAGAGAGAGACACAGCAAGAGAGGGAACACAAGAAGGGCGAGTAGGAGAGGGAGAAGCAGGCTTCCTGCTGAGCAGGGAGCCCAATGTGGGACTTGATCCCAGGACCCTGGGATCACGACCCTAGTGAAAGGCAGACGCTTCACCGACTGAGCCACCCAGGCGCCCCTGTTACCAGATTTTAAAATAATCCTAAACATATTTCACACCTCATCAGTGGTCCGAGTAACAAACTTTTTTTCAAACGGAGGCTCTCTTTGGGCTCGGTGTTTTAAATTTTATTTTAAATCTAATGACAAATGTTCCTTCAGTTTGGCTTCAAAGGCTAGGATTCCCTTTCTCACTGTCTATTATGTGATGTAGAACATCTCTTGGGAAACTTAAATAAATTTAGAGACAGCCTGCTAAGCCTAAAATTACTGTATTTGTAGTAAGAAAGGGCCTGCTAAGACAAACAATTTTTTTTGGAGGGAAGTATTCCATCAAGGTTAGAGTGTCTAATAATAAATTACTGTCAGGTGATGATCTGCCTAATGAAAAATGTTTCCATTTCTCAATTTACTTGAACACATGACCTTCTGCTTGAGGAGATTTAGTACCATAAATTGGCATTTGGATTACTAAATCTAAACAATGTGGACTGCTTAATTATGTAGAGGCTTCTTAAATGCTGTAGCTTTTTTTTCACCCCAAATTTATATACTTATTGTGCAGGGTGGTAACTTTTTTTTTAATCTTATTTCATATTTTACCTGGCAAAATTCACTTTTGGTAGTTATTTAAATCTTAAAAATGGCAAACCGAAGGATGAGAGAAAGTTCAGTAATTTTAATTCCAATGTATGCCTTTCACTTGATTTGAACTTTTTACACATCGTTTCTACCAAAAGTGCTAAATATTTATCTCTATCCAGAAAATATATATATATACACATAAATATATATAAATAGTTGTATTGAATGTAGAATGTCAGCAACTTAATGCCATTTTTAATTAATAAAAAAAAGATAAAATTTATCCAGTCTAAGATTTTTGATCTTGAACATAACCGTTAAAAACAACAAAAATGCTTTGAAAGTGTGGTATTTGCAAAACCCTTGAGAAGTCACTAATGGGATTCCCATGATCTAATATATGTTAGGCTTTAACTGTAATCGTAAACCCACTAAAGGCTTATGACCTGAGAGTATGGACTACTGTAGCCAGTTTTTATGGGTTTAATTCCACTGGCAAATCCCAGTCTCTATATTTTAAATCTCAACTACCACAAAATCACGACATTTTTCAAAAGAACAATCTAAAGAAAGTAAACACTGGAATGACAGGGCAAGAAAACCATTACCAAGAACCAGCCTTTCACACAAACCATCAAGGAACTTCAAAAGCACAAGACCAAGCAAAACTTTTAGTTCGTGATACACGTGCAATTCACCCTTAACATTCTCAAAACTACATATGAATCATCTTATTTTCCTCTGACTTATTTCCATACAAGACTCAGTGAAACAGAACTTACTCAGCTCCTATTGATGACTGGATCACGGTTTTCTGAGGTTATTTATTACTTTTTTTTTTTTTAGCATGTTTTTATTATGATCCAATTCTGTGACTGCTAAAAGCCAGGAAAATCCGCCTTTGGGTCAATGCAGAGCACAAAGTCACTAAAAATTTTGCCGGCCCTGTGCTATACCTCAGTGTTCAGAATTATTCTGTTTTGTCCTAGGGTCATGTGATGTTGTAGCAGGGTGCACTGAAATTTGTGATTAAATCTTTTTTTTTCCTCAAAGAGGTTTGAGTTATTATAGCAAGTGATGATTTATGCTTAATACAAAACTTAGCCTACCTCCCCTATTTAATATATATGTAGACTATTCATTCAAGGGTTTACATATGCATGGCAGACACGTAAATGTAAAAATATAGCTTATTTCTAAAGTTTCTTGTCTCATATACTTCTTGGCCCTTAAAATTTAGTATTGCAAGTCCTGCTATGAGCTATCAAGGCTAATTCTATCTTACGGATAAAATTTATTTTACAAAGGCATACCTGAATACTGTACTCATTTCATAACCAAATACATGTGGAAACAACTTGGTTTTCAAAGAACTTTGCTGTATTTACATATATTAACTGATCGTTCTACAGGGACAACCCATCAAATCAAAAGAAAATATAGGACTCTAAGCATTGTGCACTAGAAGCTTCTGGCCTGAAAGGTCAAAAAAAAAAAAATGTCTTTTAAGAACACTGCCAGCTCTTCACTTTACTTTTTCAGTGGAAGTATAACAAAATTACTTATTTCAGGACAACCATGCAACAAACAAAACCTCAAAGTTTCTTCTAGTTGGGAAATACTAAATTTTTACCTTTAGTTGAAAGCACACACAGTCACTTATTTTTGATAAAAACTGCTTTAACTTTTTTTTTCATTTATACCTGCTTTTCGATAGCCTAAATCCTTATAAAGCCAGGGCACTTTGAAACTTGGAGCTTCTCTTAATGCACTCAAAGTTTTAAAAATACCTTCGGATTTACTTTCCATATAAACTTACGACTTTTTCAACGTGTTTATTAAATGTTCTTTATCTTTCCTAGTGATCTTAGTTAGGCTCTTGTGGATAGAGGAAACCAGACGTGAAGAATGTTTTTATTGTTATAACTGTTGTTTTTTCAGTCCCTTAAAACAAAAGGGTCACCTCCTCAGCTTGCACCACAGGGGATGGATTCCAGAACTACTGCCCCAGAGGGAGATTCTTTTAAGTAAAGTTCAATGATTTCTGGATTTTGTTGAGAACCTCAGGACACTGATTGACTCGTAAAATTCCCAGTGGAGACAAGAGGAGGTTGGACAAGTTAACTCAAGGGGAGCAGCAACACCATTTCCTGAAACAGTGAGTTAGGCGCCGAACCGGGTCAAGTGTTTGAACTTTCTGACCGAAAACGACAGCGGCGCCGGGAAGGAGGAAGCTTTCTCCCGCGAGCGGGATCGCCGGCGTGGCCCGAGCCGCCGCTCCGAGGGGCCCGCTGCCTCCGCTCCACCGCCAGCCTTGCGATCCACACCTTGCCTGGCCCGTCCCAGATCGCGGCCGCCCTTGCGATGCCCGCCGCTGACGAGTCTGGTCCCCCATGGCACGGGCACCGGGAAGAATCCCCCCGCCCTCCGGTGGGAGGACGGAGGCGGGAAGGCGCCCGACACCCGCGCGAAAGCCACGACACCCCACTAATTCCCCCACCCCACCCCCGGCGGGGCGCCTTACCGGTACAGGAATGCAGGGGCTTGGGTCGCACGACCAGCGACGGGCACACGGAGTAGAGGGAAAGTTTCTCAAAGTAGTCGCAGGTCTCCTTGGAAAGGATCTCGTCGATCATGAAAGTCTTGTAGCGCCGCCTGGCTGCTTTGAGTTGGCCGGGCGAGCTCAGCCGCAGCTCCGCGTGGCAGTGCATCGTGAGCCGGGGAGAGCGCCGGCCGGCCGGGGCCGCGGGGGCTGGCGCGCCGGCGGGGGCCTCAGCCCCGCTCCTCGGCCGCCGGGGAGGCGGCGGGCTCGGGAGGCGCGCGGATGGGAGCGGGCACCGGACGCGCCGGCCGCGCGTCTAGACCCACCCGCGGATCAGCATCTTCGCGGAGCCTTTTTGGGACGGCGCAGCTGTCAATCAGCGCGCGCTTCCTGCGGGGCCGGGTGCCGAAGCGCGCCGAGGGGCGTCGGCGCCCACCCCGCCCAGCCCGCTGGTGCAAGCCGGCCGCGGACCTGCACACCTCGTGCCCGCCTCTCTCGCTCGCCTCCTCCCGCCTCGCGGTGTCTCGCGCTCCTCTGCCAGCCTCTCTATTTTAAGACACTCGCTTTGGCTCTCCTCCCCGCCCCCCTCCTGGGACGAACTCCAGGTGTGTGTGCCGAGTGTGCGCGCTCGGGTGTGCGCGCGGTGCGGGGAGCGCGCGCCGCCCCCGCCCGCGGGCCGGGTCTGGGCCGCTCCTCCGGGACGCGACCGGGTGCGCCTCCTGGGCTGGGTCCCGTGCGCGCAGCGCGCAACCCGCAACCCGGGGAGCAGGCGCGTCTAGGTCTCTTGCTAGAAGTAAGTCGAGTCTTTGCTGAGGCTCCCGAGGCTGCGGGCCACAGAGCCGGCGCCCCAAAGACCCGTGTGTCTTTCTCCCCGGTTTCCCAAGGACCCGCGGCCTCCCCTGCAATTCACTAGGCTCTCGGCTCGCGCGGAGCCGCACACTTGACCGCCCTCACAAATTCCCAAATCGCAAATGACCCTTGCCCCTGACCGTTATCCCAATAATAAATTGTAAAAATGAGAAAGTCATCCCCCAAAAGCGTGCGTTCTTTTATGTTTTAACGTTTATGAACTGTTTTCGCCGCCGTAAAGGCAAGCGCAGCGCGATCCCGCGGTGCCCGCCGGCCCTCAGCCCCACTCGAGGATTCTGGCCGCCCGATGCTCCGGGCAGTGCGGCTTTCGTTCCCGGGTCCCTCAGGACGCTTAGGGTTCGGGGAGCCCCGAAGAAACACGCTTACTGGGTGGCTTGCCTCCCCCCTCCTGGGCTCCTAACCTCCGAGTCTGTTTCAATCAGTATCTGTACGAACTTGTGTTCGATTGGAATTGGTGGCCGAGGGGGACCCCCACCCAGTCTCGGCGCCCGGGACGGCTCCAGCTGCCTGCGTCCTGCCACCCCGCACGGCGGCCGGCCACAACCGCCCGGTGGCACCGCTTTCCCACGATTTTGTCTCCGAACTGGTGTGCGTGGGATCGGAAGGAAAACGCACGAGAGAGAGAGACAGAATTATAGACGCGGATGGCCTTCTCCGAAACCCGAGTTTGGGGCTGGTGACATCTCGCTGGAAACCTGGAAGCGGCCGGGAGTCGCGGCGGGCTCGCTGCAGAGCTGCTCGCCCAGGAGCCCGAGTCGCCGCGGTAGCAAGCGGACGCGCGCCCCTGGGCTGGTGGTTCAAGTCGGACGGAAGGGACACACCTGGAGGACTAATAACTAGGCATTTAAGAGAAAATAGCAGTCAGCCGAATTAGAGCCCGGTATTAGACATGGCTCGCAGGGCGACTTTGAGGATCTTCATGCTGGATGTGTTCACGTGTGCCAGGGCTCCCTACTCCTCCCCTCCTCTCCGTTTAGAATTGTTTTCGTTCATTCTCCTCCACGCGCAGGCGGCTGCAGGGCCTGCGAACACTGCGGCCAGGTGTCCCGGCGGCGGCGCGCGTCCCGCCGCCAGGACGCCAGGTCGCCGCCATGGGCCCGGGAGCGCCCCGGGCTCTGGTGACCAGCAGTCCCCGCCGCCTGTCCGCTGTCCGGCGAGGGGGGGGCAGGACCACTCCCGGCTCAGCCGGGGCCCCGCCGCCGGGTGCCAGCCCCGAGGGGTTCTCCAGGCCGCGGGCGCAGCGGGGACCAGCGGCGCCACGAGCCGGAGACGAGTCCCAAGGGCGCGACGCTCGCTCCGAGGACAATCTTGGGTGGGGGGGCTATATTTTGCCCCTGGCAAGCGCAGAGCTGTTGACAGGCGCCGAGAAAGGGAGTGTTTGGTGGGATTCGAGAGCCCGCGGCGTGGGGGCGACTCCACGGGGAGCGCGGGCCGCTAGGCGTGCTCAAAGCTTGGGGCGCAGCACCTGAGCGACAGCCTCTCCTTAAACTCGGCAACCCTGGCGAGGGACTGAGCTTTACCGGTGTGGACTGTTTGTCCGGTCCTGCCGGGCGCTTACGGGACGCGCTTACTCCGAGTTACTCTTCTGGGCCCTGTCTTTGCCCGGCCTTTCCCCACTGCAGCCTCTTTTCTCCCTTTCCAGGCTTATTCCCCTCGCCCCGCTCCGTGCCCCGTCTCACCCTCTGTGTTCCTTTAACTGCCTTGACTCCATCCCCCCTTTCCTCCCCCACTCTTCCCAGCACTTCGGCCTCCCCTCCCCTGTGGGACGTCCCCTTCTCTTTTCTCTTCTGCCCTCCCTTCCCTTCTTCACCCCCATCTTCCATCCTGGTTTCTCTTTTTCTTTCTGCCCTTCTCTTCCCTTCCTTGCCCCTTCTCTTTGTCTCTTCCTTCCCTCTCTCCAAACCCGGATCTGCAGCCGCGCTCTCGCGTCCTTGCGTTGCGGCGCTGCCACACGGGAGGCTGCCGGCAGCGCGCGGCGGGGACAGCGCCGAAAGCCCGGGTGACCGTGCCCGGCGGGAATCGGCCTCGCCTCTGCTCCCCGCTCGGATTCTTGACCACAGGCACAAAATTTGCTCACACTCTCCCCCAGACTGTCCTTTGATTGGAAATCTGCCGTGTTTAAAATAGCTAAAGAATTTCGGCTCAACTCCTTGGATCTTCCAGCTTCTCGATTTTCTGCCACAGAGGCAAGACCTCTTAAAGGCGGTCTGAGGGCACACGTCCCAGGTGTAGGGGAGAGAGAGATTCCAGATCGTGGAATCTGGGGCCTCCAGCTCTCTGTCGCTTATAATCAAACCTGAGCCTCCGTTTTTTCATTTATAAGTGGCAATGGTAATACCTACCTACTTCACAAGGTTGGCCTTTCATAATCCATACCTTCACACAAGCTGTTCCCCTTACGGGAATGCCCTCCACAGCCCAGTCCCTCCCTCCTTCATTGCCCTGAAAAACTAGTTCAAGACCCATCTCAAATGTCACCTCCTCTGAGAAAGGATTCCCCACTCCCCAAGGCTGTTGATTCCTACCTCTGCTGCACTACCTTTTGCATGTTTATTTCACCCACTGGTGAAATAAACTCCTGGTGTGTTCTCCAGCATAGCACCTGGCACACCGCAGGTTCTCAGTAAGTGTGTCATAAATAAATGAATGCAGAGGGGAGCTTGGGTGGTGCAGTCCAGTAAGTGTTGGGCTCTTGGTTTGGGCTCAGGTCATGATTTCAGGGGTGAGATGGAGCCCCAAGTGGGGCTCCACGCTCAGCGCCCAGTCCGCTTGAGACTCTCCCTCCCTCTCCCCCTGCCCCTCCCCTGCCTCTAAAATAAATAAATAAATAAAATCTTTTAAAAGAAATGAATGCATGAAAGCTGGGATCATTACGTAATATGCGTAAAAGACCCAAGCACAGGACAATACTTCAAATCTTAATTTGTTGTTCTGAATTTGTCTTTCTCCTCACATGAGCCTTTGCCACTCTCTTTCCTCGGTATTTTTGGGTGTTTAGCAATGGCACCTAGCCCAATTCCCATTTTGCTTCCATTTTTCTCTTTTCACTCCCTCTCTCCTTCTCTGTAAAGGGCTTCGGTGGGAGGAAGCACACCCTGGCTGTCAATCACGAAGTGGGGCTTTTGTCAAGAATGGTCAGGGGTTTAGTTTCCAACATTAATGAAGTGGCTGGAACAGCAAACATCTGCCAAAGAGACTCAAACCTTTTCCAGCTGCTGGAGACCCACAGACACTTCCCAGCCTCTGGTGACTCTACCCAGGCAGTGTCTGCCCCCCGTGCCCAGGGAGGGGAACACACACAGAGAGGAACGGGCCCATCTGCACTGAGCCACACTTGGGCAGGCATAGAAGGGGCTAACAATTCCTACCCTCCAAGAGGCTTCAGGAAATCAGTCCCCCATTCCATCAGGTACCTGATTCCTTGGGGATAGAGCCCAGCCAGAAAGAAGGGGACAAGGACATCTTTGCAATGTTAGGAGGCTCTGATAATCAGAAACCAAGGAATCCCACTTTCCTACTTCAGCTCATACCTGGTATCTCCACTCAACTAGTAGTCATAAAAATGGGTTTTTTAAAAAAGATGTATTTATTTATTTTAGAGGGTAGGGGAAAGGGGCAGAGAGAGGGAGAGACAGAGTCTCAAGCAGACACCGTGCTGAGCGTGGAGCCCCACATGGGGCGTAGAGCCTGACCCAGGCTGTGGAGCCCAATGTGGGGCTCGATCTCATGACCCTGAGATCACTACCTGAGCCGAAACCAAGAGTCTGAAGCTTAACCAACTGAGCGACCCAGGCGTCCCTAAAACAAAATGGTTTTTAAAAATCCTAGGGCACGGGAGCCTGGGTGGCTCAGTCAAGTGTCTGTCTTCAGCTCAGGTCATGAGTTCCAGGGTCGAGCCCCACATTGGGCTCCCTGCTCAGTGGGGAGTCTGCTTCTCCCTCAGCCCCTCATCCGGCTCCTGTTCTCTCTCTCTCTCTCAAGTAAACAAAATCTTTTAAAAAATAAAATAAAATAAATAAAAATCCTAGAGCAGCATTGAAATTGCATGTAGGCTCTAACCTTAGCTGAACTCATCTTGATGCCTAGTTTATTCCTTTTATGATCTTGGGCTATGTGTCGATGTAGATGTTCAGAAGAGCCATGCCAGAAGTCTTATAAGTACATTCCCAACCAGTTTTTCTCCAAAGAGGAGTAGGGGACAAAAGCACTTTTTATATTCTAGTAAAGTGTATTTAATAACTTGTATTTCAGCCACTAAGTTTTGAAATAGTTTCAGACATGTAAAAGCAAGAGAGGGAA